TTGTGCATAAGATCTGCTAACACTTGCAACTTACGCCTAAGGATATGATAGGACTGTGTAGTGCTTGCAAAGAACTAAACACCGTGTCGTATCAGGAGTGTTCAATTTTCATTTACTATCTCTCTACGAATAGAATATTATCGCCCAAGATCTCCGGGTAATTTCATCACTACACACAACTGCATCAAGCACCTGTGTTGTGAATTACGCTGAACTCTCTTGGAGTGGCTGCAATCATTTAGTGCGTGTCATTGCAGATCGAATACTAAATGTGATCGCCATGATTGTAGTAGACTGCAATTGGACGTTGTGCAAATATCATACGAAAGAACGACGAGAAGCATGGTCATTGACCTCTTGAGTGGTCGAACTTTGTTTAGCTGAATACCTCAATTGAATCGCCCATCAATACTCTTTTCTCAAGATCATTCCACCAAATGAAGGTCAATCAATTTCGAAGCTTTGAAGCTTGCCACACAACCTGCGACTTAATAAGCTACTTACAAGGTGACCATCAGGCTGATATCTTAATATACGAGACAAACCATACCAGTATGTGATGACTGTACTTACAGCAACTGCGAGCTGCCATTTCATGATTCTAAGTAGTGGAGCTGCTGTGGACTGTGTTAACTTTCAGTACCTACACGCGCGTATCTCCTCCTCTCATATGGGTGTTTGGGAGTTCAAAGGCGCTGAGTTGGGAGGTCGATTATGACGCACATCGACACACTGGACACTGAACAAGCAGATATAGAAGAATTAGTACCCAGGTGCTACAACAGGTTGCATTGAAAACCGTTGGGTGAAAGAGGAACATGCAGATCGACTTTTTGCACACCGTGACCTGGACAAGTCCATATAGTCAGTGACGATCTAACCAAGAGCCTGCAGAACGCCTGAGCTCTTGTACGTCAAAGATCCATTTTCAATTGTCGAACTTAGTGCCTTCGAAGTTAGGAATCTTAGGGTTAGGCGTAACTCGATATTTAGAGCAATTCGCTCTTTGGCTCTCCCTTTTCATTAGTTCATAGAAAGATGAACAATTAACGTGTTTCAGACAACCAGAAAGGGGTCCTCAAAGACTCAGAACACGCCCTTGATGGGTGCAGACTGTAGGGTGCTGTGCGGAAAAGGAAGAATTTGCCTTACTAGGCTGAAATTTGAAACAGGTCAACTCCAAGTACCCCAATTAATAGTAATAACACGATAATCATGCAGTATATGGTTGCAAAGACCAAAAGTAGGAGGTTTAAACGAAACTTGATGCTTCAACTATTTCATAAGGTGTATGGGTGGAACTTATCAACACCAAACTCTATACTACGCCTTGATAACCAACTAAAACGGTTTTGAAAGCGGAACGGTGTTGAGTGGCGCCAAACTCATGCAATTAACGTGAATATCCACGTGTGATTCTGATCATTTTTCGTGGGCATTGAATGTACAAAGCGTTGCTTTTACGAGACGCTTAGTTGGGGAGACAGTTGGTACCAAGGTGTCTGTGAATCATGGCCATCTTTTCGTGAATTTCGTACATTGCATCATGTAGGAAATAGACGTGTTCGATATCAGAACGAATCTAATTCATGATAACGATGCCACCTGTAACAAAAAGGGTGTACTATTTAGTATCGAGATATTGGCCTTTCCGAGTTGTTTCAGGCACCTTGATTTTTAATAGTTTCAGGTTCCATTGTTCGATTTCATGTAGATATGTACATGTTGTTGGTAGCAGCCTTAAAAAATGTAGCATAAGCCTTTTGGCCGTACCATGACTGGCATGTAATTAAGGATTTATTTTTCCAGATTAAATTAACCTTTAATGATTATTTTATTTAAGCGGTCTGAAAATCAAAAGAATATTTTAGTGGATTATACAAGTTCCTCAATCCGAATAATCGAATATTTAATCAAAGGCATTCACGGGTCAATCCGTATGTTATAAACTTTGTCAATCTTTGCAGTGATTTACCTCTATCTTTCTGGAAAATCAAAGGCCAAAGCAAACCTTTTACGTTTTATTTCATGTCCTTCTCTTCACAGATAGATTCATGAAGGAATAACAAGTACTCGGAGTTGACTGGATGGCTGCTATGGAGACATCGTGTTTCGTTTTCAGGGAAGTCTGAACAGATCTGTTAATAAAACTCTGTTTTAAAGTCAAAGTTACTGATACTGGAAGATATGATGTATTCCTCAAGAGTTAGGACTTTTCCAACCAGATGACAACGGAGAGCCCCGAGCCTCATCATCTGATGCTCATTCCTTCGGCTGCGCAAATTGAAAACCGTGGACCAATTGAAAGACTCTGATAGGGGTGTTTAGTTAACCGTTAACACCCTTCAACTTAATCACAGTCTCAGAACATTATAAGACGTCTAATGGTAAGATCTCTGAATTGGGGCTCAGTTGTGTCGCAATTTCCTGCTCGTTAGAGTCGCAAGTTAATTGGCAGTCACAAGACTTGGTAAGTTAGCTAATAAAAATGAATGCATTGTGATAAACCATTGGTTGCTAGTGTACGATGTGGGATACAATTGAAAGCACATCGCATGTGCCAACAAGGTTATATTTTATACCTATGACTATTCAAGCAGACCATTGCATTGAATACAGCCAATATTCAAATGATTTAAAGGAAACTTGTCCGTTGACCTGATGGGTTGATGCGATTTTTCAAGTTTCACTGTTCCTACCAGACCAACTCCGAAGTTAGCGGTTCAAAGGACATTATCGCAGTTCGGGCCACAGAGTTTTGCCTTGCGAGTGCAGTTTTAGTCTGCCACCTCGCGACTGCATTTAGTTGCCAGAAATACCAGCTTGTATGCCTGCTTCACATTATTTCTGCATTTTTTGTCCTGGGCTATAGTGCATGAGTCTACATGTACGTCAGTTTTGCTTGTGGAATGTCTTGGTTGATGACTATTAAGCCACATATAAGGCGTGTGAAAATGGACACAATGCACATGCACATGCATCCGTATACTTTGTCTTCTATTAGATTTTCGTTTTGTTATAATCTGCAAGCTGGGTGTCATAATAAAA